CCCCAAAACCCCAAAACCCCAAAACCCCAAAACCCCAAAACCCCGCATTGTTAATTTATAATTGAGGCTGTTTTAGGTTGTTATAAATAAGACGAGATTAGTCTCAACGGTGTTATTATATGGCGCTAAAATGTTCGCACATCTCGTCAATAGTGTAAAAACATTAATTTCTTTGAAGTTTTCATCTTTCTCATTGGCAGAGTGGACTCCAACATTGCCCGCTATTTTTTAATATAGCAGTATGATTGCACAAATTATATCGCTGGCCATTATTACCAAACTTCTTCATAGTGTTGCAGAGATTACCCTCTCTTCTATCTCTCTTCCCAGACCTCTTCTAATCCACTGCTCATTCCTTCTAAACTTCGCCTATGATTTGGACTTCTCCGAATTTTGTTCGTTCCAGGCTGTATTTTTAGTCAAGAAATTGTGAGTTTTGGTAAGAGAGGGGATTTTCAGGGTTTTTATGAATTTTGAATTTTTTTTGGAGATTTTGAGACTGGATGGGGAGATTTAGAGGAAGGGAAATTGGGGGTAGGGGTGGTTAGAGATTTTAGGGGGTAAATGGGGATTTAGGGGATATAGAGGGGGTTTTGAGGTTAGGGTAATGTTGAGTTAGGTATAGAGGTAATAATTGACCGGTGGTCGCTTGAATTCAGTAATGAATGTGTTTATATTAAACAAACTTGTAGATAGCACAGTCTTGGAATATTGAGAGTTCTAGCAAATTTCTTACAATAAATCATTTAATCTTTTTGGTTGCCTTCCTTAATATTATAGTTTTAATGCTCTTTTCAGATTACTGAATTTTTTATACATATAAATATCATGTAAAGACATGACTAAAAGAAAGAATGAGGATTAGGACTAGCCAACTTTTCTAGACATAATCCTCAAATTATGCTGAAAATATGAGCGAAATTTCAGCTCTTTGCCATGCTCATTATTTCTGACGGCTCTTAGGTTACCTCCTCGCTGTAAAACGTATTTTATTATTAGATAAAGCCAGGCTATATTTGAAATGTTTTATTACAATGTCCGAGTGAATTATGCAACTAAAGTTGCATAATTCTTCCGCCCCTAATGCAAATTCAAAAATATTTACGTTTGAAAATCGATTTACACTTATTAATATTTCTTTATCATAATCGAAAAGTTAAAGTTTCAGAATCGAACCCATAATGTAGTAGCCTTAGACCCTCTTGTTTATTTTATATATTAGTTGTAAACTAAGAGGTTAGACTTTGGAAAGACCACTGAAAGTGCTATAATTTCAGCCAACTCTACCTTTTTGCATTTTAAATGATTCCTCCATTGAGGTAGAATAAAATCTATCCCAAAAATACTACATATCATTTAAATTTCATATAAATTCACGATTTGAAATTTTGATTATATCCTCAAATTTTACAGTTCTTAAATCTCCAAATATTTATTTATTTATTTGATTTCATCCAGATTAGGTTAATGAAGATATTTCACCTTTAAACACTGGAAAGAGTATTTTGGTAGCTGTTAATTGTCAGACCAGGAATAATGATATTGCTAATTAGACTCAATTTCTTCAGCATTAATGCTGCTAAAGTCCCAAAACTCGAACATATGGATGCATAAATGATTCTTATTTTATAAAATATAGTTTAAAATAAGCCAGGTTATGATTCAGGTTGTTATAATGAAAAAAAGGACTCTTATTTAATCTCAGAAAAATTAAACCAGGATATGTATAATATATTTTAGGAAAAAATTATTTGTGTATCTTTCCTTGAACTCATACTGAGCTTTGAGATAACTTATTCCAAGCCAAAGTTTAGGATCCCTAATCTTTGAACTGTGGAGGTTTAGCAATAAACATGTTTGCTGTATCTTCTGTTTTTTGTAGATCCCCCATTGTCAATAGATAATTGTCATATTGCTGGAATAGGCTTGCCTTCTTAGCTTCTACAGGGGATATTCTCCTTCTTGGATTAATAGATTCTGCAGTGTTTTGCTTATCTCTCTTCTTGCGGATTAGTAGCTGTAGAAGACTACTAATGTCAGACTTCAAGTTGGTGGATGATTTCTCAGCAAGGTCATCATTTGATCTGAAGAAAGCGGAATCTTTTCGATTCTGTTTTTGCTGATATTCAGCAGATTTTGATATTTTATGAAAGCCTTCAAGTTTTTGCCCATATGCTATTTCACGTCTAGAATTATATTTTTGATAAACTGCTCTTTTTGACTTGCAAAACTTGCTTTTAGGCTTACTTATAGTGGGCCTACGTTGACGTAAAACTTGGGGAGATGACTCAGAGAGGAGATCATCACTAATGTCACAATCCTCTAGTGACTCAGAGAGGCTCCTTTGATCTATCTCTGCAAATTCTTTGGCAGGGATTATATTGGTGAGATTCATTTTAAATATTTTATTAGTATATTAACTCCTTGGCTTATATCACGGGGTTTTGGGGTTTTGGGGTTTTGGGGTTTGGGG